TACGCATGCCCCACCTAACTCCCGGGCCGAAAATGGTGTGTGGGGGGGGGTACACAACACATGTTTCTAGGAACACAAAGAGTTTATCACTGTGAATAGCAATACAGTAGTAGAGGAATGGAGAACTTTGCTTCCCTTTGAGTTCAAAACATCTGGAAGGCATCAGGTAGGGGAAGGGTAGGCTAAACTAAGAGACACCTTCCTCTTTCCTGATCCTATTGATTATGTGAGGCTGGGAACCTAAATGTTTGATGCTATCATACAGGAATTAGGAAATATCTTTCTAGCTTCAAAAATTAAACAGCTAACAGATGGTTCAGCCATGACCAATGTTACCTGTTCAAATATAGGAGTTACTACAACTAAAATTTACTGTTTTACATCTCATAAAAGTACTATGCAAATATATATACATGCAGTATATTTTTAAATTAGATTTTAGAGGATCTGTGCTTTGTGATATTTCTGCACAGAGGGGGGGAAGGAACTAGAGTCCATTGGATCAGCATGTCTGAGCCTGCCCATTCTGTCTTAACTCTTTTCCATGAAAGCTTTTTCTTTTTTCTTTTAAACTGGTTCAATTGCTTCCCCTCCCTCTGCTGTTCCACGCTCCCTCACATAGCAAGGTTTCCACCCTCCCCCAAGTGTCCCAGCTCTTGGCCCCATGGATAAAAGGCAGGAGAACTCTATTGAACAACTTTTCACAACAACCTCCAGCAGGGCAGGAGGGGGAATCGTTATTTAGAAATGATCTCATTAACAGATTATAATGTTTCTGCTTATGAAGAAACTGAATTGAACAATTTGTACAGCTGAACTCCCTTCCCCACCCCTAACAAAAAAGGAAAGTAATAAAATAAAATATGGCTCTGAAGGCCTCATCTGTGTGGAACGTTCAGCTTTTTCTTTAATGCAGCATCAATATTGTATTCCACAAGTTATTACAGTCAAGAGCACAAAACTCCAGTCCTATGAAGACTAAAACCAAAGTCATTTCCCTCCCCCTCCACGCGCTATCAGTTCCCTAATGTAAAGTGTGATTATAATGGTAGGAAGGAACCTTGAATGTGCAGTAATACTGGCATACTTACTCACCAGTCTGCTGAATGAGTCCGGCACCCACATAAATAGAAGATTATGTTGAACTAATATTGTTTTGTCAACTCAAGTACACTTGAGGAAAGTGAATGGTACTTACCATGGTAAGTTCCTACCCTGTAGGGAGGAAGGGGAATGCAGCCCTCCCAGGTACTGCTGTGTGCATGGGGGACACAGAGCACAGAGGGTTGCCCAGGGGTCCTGGGATGCGCCCCCAAGGTCCAGGGGCTTCCTATCTTCCCTCCCCTCCCCTCCCTCCTGCTTTTCAGCATATATATATATATATATATATATATATATATATATAATTGCTTCTCCCCATCAACAATTAAATTACACTTGAGGAAAGCTCAGAAAAATAATAATTATTACTATTATTGCTATTATTATTATTTCTGGACTGTGGTCTAAACCACTAAGCCAGCTGGGCTTGCCGACTGGAAGGTTGGCAGTTCGAATACACGCGACGGGGTGAGCTCCCGTTGCTCAGTCCCAGCTTCTGCCAACCTAGCAGTCCAAAAGCACACCAGTGCAAGTAGATAAATAGGTACCACTGCAGCGGGAAGGTAAATGGTATTTCCATGTGTTCTGGCACTCGTCACAGTGTCCCACTGTGCCAGTTATGCTGGATATGTGACCCGGAAAGCTGCCTGTGGACAAACGCCGACTCCCTCGGCCTGAAACAAGATGAGCGCCGCAACCCCATAGTCGCCTTTGACTGGACTTAACCATCCAGGGGTTCTTTACGTTGTTGTTGTTGTTGTTGTTAAAAATAAATAAATAAATAAATAAATAATATTAAGCAGCTTTGCTTGATGTAATAAGCCTGCTTTACCTCCACTACAGCCTTTAAAAAGTTCATCTGCCAACCTTGGGGCCACAATTCAAAATTAGAGCTAAACATACCCCTATATGCTTGTGGGACTCCAAATTCTCTCTCTTAAACCTCAAACTCCAAGACCTGTGAGTATAGCATAATTATGCAGGCAGCTGGTCCCAAATAGCCCTGATAAGTAATGCATTGCAGTAGGGCTAGCAGCCAGCTACCTTCCTCTTTCTCATAGGCAGCATTCTACCCCTCACCCCTCAAAATATGCAACTTTTTGGAAGTGACTGGAAGGAAACACATGTGAAGACTGAGGACAGGCAGGCTGCAAGGTCAGTGACGAATAGGAGAGGTACTTATGAAGTGGCAATGTAGAACACTGAACCTTCAAGGACGTATGCCAGAGGTTTTCAACTTTTGAGTTCTCCCTTGACCAACTCCATTCTTTCTGGGGCTCAGGAGCCCAGTTGTATCACCCCTTGCCTGCAGAGCTGGTAGCCTCTCAACCCTTTCTTGAACATCCTCCCTTGTGGAGAATTCTCTCAGCCTCCTCTCCTCTCCCCCCTAATTGGGAGTCCGCAGCTGCCGCCCCTGATCTCTGAGCTTCCCTCCTGCCCCAAAGGGAGGTGCCTCCTCACACTGCCCCACAGGGGCCAGGGACTTGTCTGCCTATTCCCAACAGCAAGGTCTGGCAGACTGGGCTCCCTTGCCCGCTTGCTTGCTTACTCTGAGGCCTCTTCAGCTCCTGGCAATCAGCACCCCCTGACCAGCCCCAGAGGCAGCATTTGCCTGTGGAGCTTGCAGCCAGGGCTGCTGCAACAAACAGCTGTGCAAGCCTTTGGGAGGCAGAGATGTGAGAGGGCATCAGAGAGAGGGAAGGAAAGAGAGACAGAGGCCAGTGTTGCCTACAGCACCTCTGACCATCATTCAAGGCACCCCAGGGTGACAAGACACACTGGCTGCAAAGAACTGAAGCTGTGCATCAATGTATTTTTTGAGCTTTACTATGCAGCCTTAAGATCTAGAAGTCCCCTGCCCACCAGCACCACTCACCATCAGCTTAGTATCGTATGATGTGAAAGCCTGCACCAGTTATGCAATTCTATATGCTGAATAGTACAGCTATGTGTTGCCTTGCACTATAATCCTTCTGGAAAGAGATCAAGTCACCCCTGTGTACAAGCACACTGTTGGCAGTAGATAAATGCTTACTAGTAGTATAAACCACTCATCAACTTGTCAGATTTCTACAGAGATTTGTAAGAGAGACATACACAGATGTCCGTGGGGGTGGGGGTGGGGGTGAGGACAAGACAGGAAGTGCATCATGCCAGCACTCCTTTTTTAGAAAACCATAGCCTAATGCACCCTCTGCCAACTATTCATAATGTTTCAAAACTAGTGTTCCCGTTCGTTAACTTATATCCTAAACAGCTGCAAGACTGAAGAACACAAGAGATACAGGCATTTGCTGCAAAGTTCAAGCTGTACAGCTCCCTCCTCGAAGAATGCTGAGTCATCCATGGCTTTGCCGGCATCACTTAAAAAAAAAAAATCATATTCACAATCCCTAACCAAACACACACATGCCTGTGTGCATCACAGGACTGCAAAAGTTGTGCCAATGCAAAAAGGCCACCATCTCAAAGTATCTATCCACTGCATGCTGCACAAACAAACTCAAAACAGAAACACAAGGCAATAGTTCCTGGTCTTGGGGTGGGGGGGGGAGTGGAGAAACCTCCGCATAAAACCTCACATATTTTATAAATTTATATTGCTCCGTTCCATGTCATTTCCAGGAGGTAACAAAATCCAAAAATAGCAGAACAGTAATAAAAACGGCGAATAACAGCAGGATAAAAACAGCAGCATCAAAACAGTGCTTATCAGGAACTAAAAAGCCAAGGAAAATAAAAGAGCTTGCCAAAAGAAAATAAATGTTAAGTGAATCTCCTCAGCGAGAGCACGTAAGAACAAGGCATCATAACCAAAAAGGTCTTCCCCTACGTTGCCACCAATCAGATGGAACAGCTGACGGATCTCCAAAAGATGGTGGCAGGCTCCTGCTGCAGAAGACAATCCTTCATGTAATCAAGGCCCGAGTCATGTAGGATTGTTTGTCCTGAGATAGAATATAGGTGTTCATATTCTATTGAATTACATACCAATCCTTTGGAACCAGACAGAGTGACTATTTAACTGGCTTCTAGGAGCATTCATTAAAGGTCTAATGCTTCAATACAGGAAAGGTAAGTCTACCCCGCCGCAACTGTGAAATGGGTAGAGGACATGGCTCAGTTGGCAGCGTAGGAGGAGGTGATCTTACCTAGACACAAGCAAGATGGGAAATTATTTGATATCTGGATGCTTTATGCAACTCTATTTGCTCGAATGTCTGAACATTCACAATTGGTCTGGACCACCAGCTACCCATCCCCACACTACTGTCCTCTCTCTGACTTGAACTGCACAGAACACGTCCTGATTTATTATGATTTATAGTTTGTATTGTTTGACTGTATTTGCTTTTGTTTCTTTCTGGAAAATTCAACAAAAAACTATTAAGAAAAAAAGAAAAGAAAGAAAACTTCTTCTGTAAACGAAAAGAAGTATACATCAACATTTTGAATTGTGGTTAGACCAGGAGTCAGTGAAGCTGATTAAGCACATGCAAGTTGTCATCGGCCTGGTATAGCGGGCATAGATAGCAGATGTGTTTTTACTTACTGGAAGTTTTAAAGCATTCTTCAAAGGCAGACACTTGAAAGACGTCATAGTAGTCTAACCTGGAGGTCGTGAGCATGGCTAATGAAAGCAAAGTTATCCCTGGGCAAGAAGAGTTGCAGCTGGCCCATCAGCTTTAGTTGGTAGAAGGCACCCAGTATCACATACACACAATCAGAACATCATTTGTGCAAGTTTGTGCTTCCTTTGTTTCTTCACTACCTTCTGCTTGCAGCAGTGAACCAAAAAGTTAAGTCCTGCAGCAGAAGTTAGAATTATAGAGTTGGAAGGGACAATGAGGGTCAATCTAATCCAACTCCCTATAATGCCTGAATCTCCCACCACCCCACCCCCAACTTGGGGCTCGAACCCACAACCGTGAGATTAAGAGTCTCATGCTCTACCAACTGAACTATCCGAGGTCACTTATCACACATCCAGAGGGCTTTTTAGGTTACAAGGTATTTGCGAGAGCCCCCCTCACACCCTTCTCATACAGAAGAACTTGATAGCCCTAAAGCACAAGAAGCAACACAGCGAGATACCAGATTGTATGATCTGGTATCTTGCTGCATTGCTCCTGGAAATTGATTCTACTTTGCTTAGAAATGCAATCGAAGCATATTCACGAAAAGAGCAACACAGAAGAAACAGGCAAAAGCCCATTAGCAGAAAGGGCATGATGTTAGCTGCATGTTTAAACAAGCTTGCTTAACCTTGCTTTTACAGTGGTACCTCGGGTTAAGAACTTAATTTGTTCTGGAGGTCCATTCTTAACCTGAAATACCACTTTAGCTAATGGGGCCTCCTGCTGCTGCCGCGCCACCGCCACAAGATTTCTGTTCTCGTCCTGAAGCAAAGTTCTTAACCCGAGGTACTATTTCTGGGTTAGCAGCGTCTGTAACCTGAAGCGTCTGTAACCCGAGGTACCAATGTATTTTGGAAAAGTGGCTGCCACAGGGTATGGGACTGGGATCACACCCATTTTCTGCTGCAATTTGCTCCCTCCTGGTTCCTTTTTAGTCCTGGAAATATTACAAACAGTACCTCCAGCAGAAAGTAGCAGCCATTTAGGGGTCAATTTTCAGCAGGAAAAAAACCACAATCTCAAAATGCTTCATGTCTTTCCTGTCAAGGCATATGTCTGTCTGTCTGTCTGTCTGTCTGTCTGTCTGTCTCTCACTCACACACACACAGAGAGAGAGAGAGAGAGAGAGAGAATATTAGGATGCCCAGCAATAATAGCAATCAATAACAAAATCAGGAACACAATGTTTGAATATTTACATGATCATTAGGAACCAGGTTGGAGATGGCCACAGATGGCCAGCTGAGTGGCTAAGTATGAACTGCCTCTAGGCAATGAGAGACGCCCTTGTTTTCCCTTGTAGCCTTAAAGAGCTTACTAGCTCTTTAAAAGCTTAGATGGGAGAGGCCAGACAGCTATATGCAGAAGGCTACACACTGGCTGGCTCTTTCCCACTTCCTGGAAGGAGGGAAAGGATTGGCTGCACATACTTTGGGACTCTGCCCTCCTCTTTAAACCAGAAACAGAAGAACGCAGGTACCAAACACTACTACAACCCCTGCTGAAACTGCAGCTTGAAAGGCGGGAGTTTTGACAAGCTGACAATGCTTCTTAGAAACTCACGTGGCCAAATCACCCCCATACTTCCTTCCCAACACTGGAGCTGGGCAAGCAGCAAGAATCGCCCACAGTGTTATTTTGGGCTTCAGGGGGCCTTTGGAACTATGGGGAACAAGCTCTCCCACCCATCCACCCCTTCCAGTTCTAAGGTTTGGAGGATGACTGTTCTCACAAAAAGCTGAGCTGCCACCCACCCACTAGCGCTTCCCTGCTGCTCAAATTTGGCACAGATACTGCACTGTCGTCCACCTGGCACTCTTTACTAGACCTCAAAAGGTCAAGATGGAACACAGAGATGAATGCAAGTCTCTGAAAGTATATAGAGCTGAAGTCATTAAGGACTTTGCAGGTCAGAACTAGCCCCTTGAACTATAACTGGACTGGAACAGGGGAGCTAACGCAGGCAGCGGAGCAAGGCTGCAACACATTCCTTTTAACTTGCACGGTTACTCAGATGGTAATCTCATGTGACAGCTCCTTGTTCCTCGTTTTCTTTTGTATGTTTTTTTTTAATGCCCTGATTATATGGGGTGATAACATTTGGAGTTTCATTTGCTCTCACAAATGTTGGGTTACAGAAAATTTTCTGCAGCAATTCAGATTAAACGTAGTAGTACATTTAACAGAATAATGACTAGAAGGGGGGGAGGGGGAGTTGTAGCCCTCCAGCGGCTAAGTAAAGGTAAAGGGACCCCTGACCATTAGGTCCAGTCGTGGCCGACTCTGGGGTTGCGGCGCACATCTCGCTTTATTGGCCGAGGGAGCTGGCGTACAGCTTCCGGGTCATGTGGCCAGAATGACTAAGCCACTTCTGGTGAACGAGAGCAGGGCACGGAAATGCCGTTTACCTTCCGGCCGGAGCGGTACCTATTTATCTACTTGCACTTTGACGTGCTTTCAAACTGCTGGGTTGGCAGGAGCAGGGACCGAGCAACGGGAGTTCACCCATCGCAGGGATTCAAACCGCCAACCTTCTGATCAGCAAGTCCTAGGCTCTGTGGTTTAACCCACAGCGCCACCCGTGTCCCTCCCTCCAGCGGCTACTGGACTACAATCCCCATCATCCACTGGGGCCAAGCTGGCTGAGGCTGATGGGAACTGGAGTCCAACAAAAATTACTCATTTGCAGACTAGAACAAAAAATTTTTTTTGTTAAGTATTACAAAATGCACAGAGTTGTGCAGCTCAATCCTATGCATGTTAACTCAGACACAAGTTGCAATGTTCTAGTTAAGGTTTGCTTCCAGATAAATATGTATAGGATTGTTACCTAAGGCTGCAATCCTATGGCTATTTACCTGGAAGGCAAATCCTACTGTGATTATTTCTGAGCAAAAATGCACAAGGTTGCTCTGTAAGGCTGCAATGCTATGCAAACTTAACCAGGATCAAGTCTAATGAAATTTGCTACTAAGCATGCACCCAATCAGGCTCCAAGAAAAAAATAATTATTCCTTCTCAATTTCCCCCAACTTTGATATCTACGAAGTCAGGAAACACAAATGACTGATAATAAACAACACCCCCCGCCCCCGCCAATACCCTGTAAGTGTCATCTATTTATAACAGCATCAGTCGCCCTGAGAGCCTCTGATACAATCAAGTCTATGCAGAGGGCAATGACCTGAGGCAGAAAAAGAACATTTTACAGGATTTCAAGTACAAGACACCTGAAAGAAGTAAGGGAAGCCTCTCCTGCAGACTCAATGAGAATAAGAAGTTATTGATCTATAAAAGAGATCGATGGTATATACTGCGAAACCTAGAATTGGTCTTGAAAAGACCTAAATTTCTGCCCTGCCCCACCTGCTGAAGACACAGTATTAAAATAAGAAATTATTTATAATACTCATATCTTAGGCATTGTTAAAACCAGTAAGCATATCCACAAGTGTTTCAGCAGACTTTCAAAGAATGAGCAATCTAAAACTACCACCTTAGTGTTTCCAGCCACCAGAAAAGCCTTGGCTGATTGGTTGCACTAAGAAAAGCATCCCTTAAAAAATAGTGTTAGGCTAAAATCCTACATATACAATTACCTGGGAGTAAAGCCCACCAAACATACTGCAACTTACTTCTGAGTAAATATGTGTAACATTGTGCTTTAAGAACTCTCGCCCACAGCCCATGAGCTAATAGGACCACAAAGAACCCAAGAAATCAAGATATGGCAGGCTAACAATGTAAAAGGCCAAGCACAGTTTAAAACAGTTGGGGAATAGGAAAGAACATACTATATTCTGATTGCATGCTGGAGATAGGGTTTGTGTGTGTGTGTTTATGAGAGAGAGAGAGAGAGAGAGTGAGTGAGCAGGAAAACAAGGCTAAGTTATATGAAATATGAATTAAATATGAGGAAGGAAAACAAGAGTAAGTTATATGAAATATAACTACCAGTAAAACAAAAAGAAAGGAACAGCACAAACACCACATAAATACCTAACACTTACTACATCTGCTGTACAGCAGAGTCCTTTGTGTACTTGTGTCAACAGACTATTGCCCTGCACCACCTCTCCCACAAAGGGATCCTTTACACAGCAGAACTTCCCAGGTGTACAAGTTTCAGACAATGTATGCAAAAGCCACCTTCTTAGACCATAAGCTCTTCACAGGCAGGAATCTCCTTCAAGTAACCAGACAAGAGCCATGTTCATGAGTTGGAAGAACCTTGTTTAGCCCCTGGAAATTACTCACACTGGTACATGTGAGCATATGGGCCACTTCTCGTCACATCTTTCTACGCTGGCACTCAAGGAAAATAAAAAGCAAGGCTGAGCCGCCTTCTGAGCGTTACTAGTCAACTTGCGTGAAGACCGGGTGCTCATAATAGACTGAAGTACATTACCACACTGCATGGAGGATGGAGCAAACTTGTTTTTGCTTGCTCTGGAGGCTAAGACCCAAACCAATGGATTAAATTTACAAGGAAGGAGATTATGATTAAAACATCAGGAATAACTTTCTGAAAGTAAGAGCTGTTCCAACACGGGGGCAGACTCCCCCTGGATGCTCCTTTCTTGGAGGTTTCTGAGCAGAGGCTGGATGACCATCTGTCATGGATGCTTTAGTTGAGAATCCTGCATGGCAAGGGGTTGGACTAGATGATCCTCAGGCTCCCTTCCAGCTCTTTCAATTCTGTGATTCTAGGTTCCAGCAGATGCTCGAGGTGGTCATCCTCCAGTAAAAGAGAACGTCAGCATTATTCAAGAGCCATTTAGAACCTGACAGGTCAAAGATGGCACCCAGGAAGGAAACAGGGCAGGGGCTGAAACAATCTGAGGTGGCTCAGTTGTGAGTGCAACCTCTGGGTTGTGTGCAGGTCACTCCTACCCTGATTGGACACTAACCATTGTTTACCATTCCATTCGAACCGCAACTTGTTTTGTAAACCTGGATTGGAAGCCAGGGTTTGATCCTGATAACCAGTCCTTGTTTGCAGAAGAATGTTTAACTATAGCTCGCCCGTTTGAACAAAACAACTACTTATGGTTTGTCTCAAACGAGGAAATGAGAAAGGGGAACTGCCACACCCAAAAGGAAGGACAGAGTGCCTGAGCTCTAGGCTGGGCACCTAATTACAAACCACAATTTGGAAGCTAAATCTGAAACCACGCCTCTGCATAACTTGGTTCCAGTAATCACCCTGAAAGGTTTCAAATGAATGGTTTAACTTTAGTCTTTTCATTGTGAATTTACAGAGTTTTAGCTCTTTAAGGATTGTGTGTTTTTGCATTTCATCTTGAAGTAAAGCTACCAAGCCATGCAAGTAGC